GAGGCACTCTCCATTCAAGATACCTCAGATATCAAGCACAGGGTTAAGGTTAGGTTGGACCGCCCACAAAAGCCTTAATGTCTGTTTATACACTGGTTCTGGGTGTCCTACTGGAGTCGAAATTGAGTTTACAAGGTACTGGGTATATATGGAAACGGACACTGCTGAGCAAATATACCCCAGCACAGTATAAAAACACAAATTGTGATTGGTTGCTTCACATGTCCGTCAGACTGACTGCTCCTATCTAAACAGGGATTTCTTCAAAGTGGACCACCAGACTTTATACTGCTGAAATTACTGAAAAAAACTTGAATAGACATTAATACAGTAAATACATCTAGTCCTTTATTTCCAGGTTTTGCAGGGTATAAGTTGTGCTACCAAGAGGTAATGCGGGTGGTGAAAGGGATTGTGCACCAGCCCTTTGAAGTCAAGGGAAGCAGCATCTTCTATGCCTTCTCCTATTACTATGACAGAGCTGTAGAGTCTGGTCTCATTGGTAAGTAGGTCTACATTATGGATAAGGTTCAATGCTACGGAATATCTACAAATGATTCATCTTTAAAAGTTATGCTGAACAAACTGTATTGTCTCAATCATTTAGACGAGTCACGTGGCGGTACTGTGGAAGTCAGGGATTTTAAAAAGAGAGCCAAAGAAGGTAAGACTTTGGATGTTCTCCCATTCTCCAAAGAACACTCAGGTCAAAGTCCTGCCGCACACATTGCACAAACATAAACCCTCGGTGCTTGTTTGCATTTGAGGTTCTCGACAATCACACTGGCTTCACAAAATGATAGCTCTGCCACCACATAAACATAGGTTGCACCTCTCCCACACAAATACTTCTGCTTGCGTGTGTTCACCTTTTTTGTAACTCTCCGACCTGCTATCTCAGCTTTTCCATGCCCTTACTAGAGGAATATGTTGTTAGTTCTTGAGCAGAATGTGACGCAAATGTCAGTTTGAGACCTGAAATTGATTCATGGAATCTTGGTAGATTGTGCCCACCAGTAAATGTCCGCAGAGATGATTTATCGCTAGGGGGAATGAGTTGGCGCCTTATGTAAGGCTATTATTTGTACGCTGACACTGTCACATGGTTTCGATGAACCGCATTTGGCACATCGGTTCACAGTGGCAGCAGCCCTGTAGATACCCACCTCCTGCCTGACCGTGAGACAACACCTAATGCCCAATATCTAACTGGAGGCAAGGCAGGACGTAATGTCTCACCCTTTGCGGGAACACTTGGTATCCCTCGTCATTTGGAGCGCTATCAGCACTTGTGTACGACCTAGGGTATGAAATTATTAATTCCCACTTTCTTCCTCATCTCAAACTCTTACAAATCACAGTGTTAGCTGGAGAAAAAACAAAACATTGGGTAGACCTGTTTCACAAAGATATGCCAGACGGTTGTAGCAAACACAGTACTGGTGCCTCAGTGTCTTACCTGATTTTCCCCAGACTCTGACACACTGTAGCCTGACAATCAACAGTCTGGGACTCACTGGATAGTGTATACACTATGCTTATCATCTCTTGTGCAACATAGGAATCTTTTAGTCTTTTAATCTTGTCTTGGATTTTTATTGCCCAATTCTGTACTCACAGAGTTACAAAATATTTACATTTTCTGAAGAAAATGTGATTGGTGCTTGTCCGTGCAAAACTCTTCGCCATGAGCATTGCTATGTGGTTGCAAAACTTTTCAAAGTAGTTCTTAGTGCTAGGGTGTTCTGGGTGGTTGCTAGATACTTGCCACCACTTTCCTCAACAAGCCACCCAATTTGAAGCATAACTCATGTCTGTAGCACAGACTATGTGGGATGAGAAATGCGTCAAGGTTTAATACTAAGGCTCAAGGGTTTGTTCAAATCTCTAACGTTAAGTATGAGCAATAGTAAAAGCTTCCCTTAGCAAGCACAGCTAATTACTGTTCTTTGCTTTTTCTTAAACAAGTGTGCAACAAGATGACTAAATATCGTCCGATCAGCCCCTTTTTGTGCATGGACATGACCTATATCACATGCCTATTGAAAGAGGGATTTGGGTTCAAGGACAGCACTGTTCTGCAGGTGAGTGGAAAATATTAAAACAATTTAAAAATGTGAAACTCTGAAACTGTATGGGGAGGATCTAAAATTGGTCTCAAACCTTATTACTAGCTCAGTGTTTGAGCATACAAAAGTAAATTGCCAAGAGCCAAAGTTAACATTCCTTGTCAGATGAAGTACCACAGATTAGGCAGCAGCATAATGGATTAATGATCTTCTTCTTTTAACAGCTTACTAAAAAGGTGAATAATGTGGAGACAAGCTGGGCACTTGGCGCCACCTTCGATCATTTCCACAAGCTCAACATTCATTAAAGCCTGCAGTATTGCAGTGGACACCAACATGAGGGGGAGCACGGGGGTCAAGCAGGTGCAAAACTCACCTGCTGAAGCAGCCCCTCTTTGTCCTCCTCCATAACTCTTTAATTGAGTTTCAGACCTGCCCTGCACTGCAGCCCTATATCACAACGCTCTCCCCTCTCATCAATTAAACACTTACAGAACTGTTCACAAAGAAATCACTATATTTTTGTAAAGATGGCCAAGCCAGCCTGCTATTTCTACTGTATGTTTACATTTTTTCAGTTGCCGTGTCACCTGAGACACTGTCTGTCTAACTTGGTAGTTTTCAAAGGTCCAGTGTTTAATGCACCCATTTAAAGCTCATGATTCATGTTGTTGTGCAGGATATTGTGCAGTGGGATACATGTAAAAACATTGTAAAAATTCATTGTGTTGAGCTATTAATGCAGCTTCCTCTGAAGTAACTTGTTAGTAGTAGTGTTTGCACAGTAGTGTGGTGCTGTTTTAGGTTATGGTAAATTATACTGAAATTTCCGTTTAGTGCCCCTATCTAGCATGTAACACTTTATAGAGTAGATGGTTCAGCCATCTGTATATGTTTTGGAAAGTTGTTTGGGATCAGCAGCTTATAATGGGGTTCGTTGGGCAGGTAGAGATAAGCACATATCATACATGTACAGTCACTTTACTCGAGCACATGAGTGCTGTTTTATGTATTGAGTAATGCATGTATTTATGCTTATCTGTTTGTATGTTAAGAAGCAGAATTGAAGAGCTGAGTTGGAAAAATTTTAGAAGCATATCACTCTTGGTGAAATTCAATAATGCTTTTTTTTTTACCCAAGTTCTAACCAGATATGGTTTTTAACACTGAATTGCATGCAGTTGAATACACTTGCACTGCAGCCATTATCAAACTAAAAAAAGGTATATAAATGCTAACATGGCTCAATACTTGGATAAACTATAACTCAAATGACTACTGGTTATTAAAGTAGACATTATGTTACTGTATTCAAAATTGAGTTATTTTTATGCCAACATGCAAACAGAGTTTAGAGTACCTTGAACCTCATTTGTCTTTAAACTTGGGTTAGTTATTGTGAATGGCTCGAAGTCATTTTAGGCGGTCATTATGTAGAACAGCGTTGAAATGTTACTGCTTTGTGTATGCAGAGATGCTCAGGTGTAAGTGGGAAGAACAAGGTTAGATTTTGTGACAGGTGCATACTGCTGACCGATTTAGGACCAGTTTTTGGCAGTATCATGTTAAGTGTGTTTTGTGAACTATTGTACAAATATTTATTTAATGAATACTTGCTAAATATGCAGTGTGCCGTTGTTGCATCTCGTTAATCCATCTACTTCTTTAAAGCTGCTTAAGTATACCTTTTTATGTATTTTACTATGTCTGTAATGTATATACACTTCAGTAATGTACTTTTTTTTGTCAGTTCTATGTATGACATGAAATCATGTACTGCTTTGCCATTTTTAGAGGCATTCTCGACAGCAAATGCTATAAATATGCTTTCCAATTCAATGTTGTGTATGAAGTGATAGCCTATTGTACATGAATAAAAAATATAAGAAAAATCTGATGTTTAATATCTTAACTAAATGGGATTTTAAAGATAAAATACATCTAGCCTACAAACCTCTCTTGATCCATCAAGTAGATCTAGCTTGAGGTATTTTTGAACGTTACAGATATTTTTCTCCCAAACAGTGTAGAATAAGGTTGACGACGTAACAGCATTAACGGTAGTATAACTAACCCTAATAAATCAGAAACTATACACGAAGTTTATAGCAAACATTATTGCTTGCTTACCTACTCAGAATGAGATGGATTTCCTTGTTGATCAAACTGGGAATAGGAAGCAACCATTTTACTGTCAAGTCGTTTACCTCCATTATCTACAGTGGGCGAATAAAATTCGCGCCAAATTATGAAAACTGCAACGGCATGCCAATAATCGAGCATCTGTGTGAATTTTCACGAGATACAAGTTAATTTGGTTAAAGCGTTGCTAGAGCGATCTGAAATGTACTGTAGACTTTTTATTTGTCTTTATTAGTAAATTATGAATTAGGACACTGGAATCCTATTCAAAATATAAGTTTATGCCAAGATACATTTTGCATCACTTACAAATACTTAATTCCCAATGTAGTTCTGATGTACACCTTTGCCTTACAAATTCTGGCAGTAGTGAATCTCCAACATAATGCAAATTACGTGCTTAAATCTATGTATTATTATACCTTTGACTTAGGAAGCCTAATTTAGTTTTGACAGTTGCTTCACAACTTCTACAGGGAAAACTTTCTACAACCAGTCCGTTCCTGTACAAAACTGAATACATTAGGTCATAAAATAATGTTTGTGAAATCGTAACAACTGAGAGAAGTTACGACCATATAGATTTATGAAATATAAATCAATATATATATATATAGAGAGAGAGAGAGAGAGATTTATGAAATTTGATGTTCTTCCAGAAACATGTAAGAAACATATTTGGTACACTGCCACCTTTACTAATAGAAAGTAAATGTGTATGAGTAGTAGTGACATCTTCATATGGGTGATTGGAAAAGATGGCATAAAAATGTTTTCCTACAAAGACCGTGGAATAAAAAATAATTTATTAATTTACACATACATTCCATGAACAAAATCTTCTAACGTTAGAGATCCAGCAAACATCCAGTTTGCAGCTAGTGTTTTACTTGCTGGCGTAGGCCATGATCTGCTCCTGTGGGTACAAGAAAAAAATATATAACTTGAGGTAAGTGACTTACAGGTAAGCAATAGTCAAAATTCACAATTTATATTTTATAGTTTTAATTTGAGAAATGCACATCTTCCCACTTTTAATCATGACGGGTGACACTAGTCCTTCTAACATTACATTAGAGGCACATAAACTGGCTGTAACATCTATAATAGAAACAGCAAATGTGGGAGATATCCCTCAAGGCTTAAGACAAGTTACGGGCCCTCTGGTTGGAACCTCTTAGTAAAGGAATGAAGCCATTTCATAAGAGTGGCCTGTAATAAAAGGAGTGTGAAAACACAAGCCAACACCACCATGCACAGCCCTGCAACTCCACCCACACACTTTCGGTAACAGTAAATTTAGGGCTAAACATAGCCATAGTAGTAGCTCCTGACCATGTAAATTACAGGCACGGATAAGAGTAGAAAGGCATGTAATCAGAGGACAAGATGGGGGGATGGGGTTACAGAGGGGAAGAAGTCAGAGTGAAAGAGGGAGCAAAAGTTGGAGAGGTGAAAGAAGGCTGAAGCTGGAAGCAGAACAAAGCAGAGAAAGAGGCACAGATGACAGAAATGAACGAGAACACGAGTGGACTGCCACAGAGCTAAGGAAAAGAACAAGGTTCAAAATAATGGAATACGATGGAGGAAGGGAACAGATTGTCCAATACTTTCAGAGCAGGAAATAAAAATAAATCTGACATTTTGAAGGAATTGTGGGAAGAATAAGATGTGATCATACTTTAAGTGGAGGCAGTGTGTTGGTAGCCTGCAGGCCAAAGGTTCTCAATAGAACCATAGGGGCGGCATTAGTGGAGTACAGTCTCTTCATGAGGTCAACGGCTGCCATCATAGGAAGATTGTGTCGCTGACATTCAGTCTCGAACTCCAACAAGTGCTGCATGGCTCCTAGAGTTCAAAGGAACAATGGTTAAACAGTAAAGCTTATGAAGTACTCTCTTTTTTTTTCTTCAAAAGTTGTCCTTTCTGTTATCCATTTGGTACTTGCTGTCTGCACAGATTTTGCACCTGCAGAAATATCTCCAGATTTACACAACAATCATATGGCATCAACTTCTACACATCTTTTGTGTGAATCTTTTGTCTACACACATGAATTTTATTTTAATTCAGGTAATTTTCCTCCAAAATCAAATGTCTGCAATATGAATGGATATGGAAAACATCAGTTACTGCTTTTAATTATACATATATGAATTTCTAAGAAACTGATGTCAACAGTTCCTCATAAGATTTCCATTTGTGGCTGCAAAGAAATTTATGAGCAGTTCTTGGCAGGAGTGACAAGTAAAAACACTGTATACCGCTCCAGGACAACCAGTTTTTTTTTTTACTAAAGATCACCCTCAATATAAGGAAATGGAAAAGAGCTTATGAAAAACCACAGAGCTCCATTGGGCTCTTCTGAACCGAAAGTATGCTACTTCAGGTATGAAATACTCCAAGATCTCAATGTACATAGAGCCTTCAAGTCCTTTATGTTTCTTGTCACGTTTCTTCAAAGCGAGGCAGTTCTTCACAATATAGCTTATATAATGTATGAGCTACTTATCAGATACGCAAATTACAAGACTTCATCTAATGCTTATTAAATGAAAATCTTTGATTTACATCTCTGGAAACTGTCATACAAGTACAAATCCAGTGAACACATACATTCAGCTTGACTGCTGCTGATATTGGAACACTTACCAAGGTCTTTTCCATTAAATGCTGCTTGGCTAAGAACTTTTGTGAGATGGGCCACATCGCCAAAGCCTAGATTGGCACCTTGGCCTGCTAAAGGATGGACTCTGTGTGCAGCATCTCTGAAATTAGAAAGATCAGAAAATATAGTGAGGAAACCTTCAGTCAGGAGCCATATTTAACTTGACCGGCCAAACCTACCGAAATTTCCTCCTTGTGGATTCTATATTACCTTAGAAATACATCATCACATAGGTCTCAGACAACCACATAAACAGTACAGCTGCACTATAAACCTAACATATTGAGAGATTTCTCGTTTATATATACATATGGCTCTATACTTATGGAATTTTTTTTTAATTCTGAACAAATACTCAAACCAAAAATCGCTTCATTCAACTTTGCAAACATACCCAATGATGGCCACTCTGTGGCGGATGTATTCTGTGGCATGGCCCATGCCTAGCGGGAACATGACCCGGCTCTTTGGGCCAATACCTGCAACGCTAGGTGGAAGCTGACGTGCAGAGCCACTGTCAGGCATCAGGACAGAAAGGGCCGTCCGAAACAGAGAGCCGGCAGTCTCCACCAGCTCAGAATGGTTCTCATTACTCCACTGAAGAGAGTAAAACAGAGAAGTGAACAACAGTGGCAATGGCACCAGAATAATGATGTGTGCAAGAACCTCTATTCATAAAAGAGTTGTTAAGCTTAAATTGGATGGAAGATGAGTGGAGAGAGCTAGTTAAAAGACAATAATGACTACTGCTAATGTCATTCCAAAACCATATGACATTCTTTCTTTCATCTAAAATGTAAAAGGATGAATTGTGAAGCACTTTTTTATTTTTTTAAAGTTGGAACATCTTTAAGAATGACTAAAAGAAAGCGCCATAAAAGTCCATACGACTCGTGCGTTTTGATGCAAGCAAGTTTGAAAAATCATTCTGAATCCTACAGAGGAAAAAAAATGTGAAACCAAACGATTTTCTTTTTTTTAAATATATATTTATTATTTTATATCCAGCTGAACTCTCTCTCTCTATATATATATAGATTTATTTTTTTCTCCTGCAATAGCATACAGTTTCTTGAAATTAATTCAGGAATCACAAATGAATTGTGGTTGATTCATATCAACACTCCCAGTTTCTGTTAATAAAGCAAATTGGAAAACAAACAGGAAAACAAAAATACCACAGGTAATACCTTATATTGGGGGACCTTCAAGTCAAAAAGGCTGAGAACCACTGCTTTAGAGGACTTGGAAAAGAGCACAGCATGGACTTTTTCCAATGACAATTTTATAGTGCTTTTTTTGGTCCTTTTTGGATCATGACAGTCCCTGGTCACTGCTGCTTTTTATTGTATGGGAAAGAGCTCTGTAAACATCCTTCAGTGGAACACCACAATTTTGAAGAAATAAAGTCATATGGTTTTAGAACGACATGAAGGCGAGTAAATAATGACATTATTTTTATTAATTGAATGCTATCTTTATCTTGAGATCTAGAGGTAAGCTATACCTTCTTCCGTTTGTGCAGTAAAAGCACTAAAGTCTTAAAAGACAGGTAATTCAGCAGAGATGCAAAAAGCATGCCTAATTAAAGTAAAATGCTGAGCAGGCCACAAATTTGAGTTTGGTCTGTAGAAAAAACATTCCGTGGAGTAATGACCAACACTGGCAAACCTTGGGCTTAATTAGCAAACCAGTTTTGATGGCAAGCGTGACTCAGATGCAAAGGCCTGTGACCAGTAAGGCCAGTAAAAATAGCCAGCTTGGGAAAAGAGGAGTTTCTTTGATGGAAACACAAACAAGAAGAAAAAAAGGGTGTGAGGGTCAGTTTGAGGGCATTCAGCCGAAATGAAGAGAATGCAGAGCACAGATAGGACATTTCAATCAAAAATCACTTCTTTATTATGTTATTCTACAGACCAAAATGAACTATTGCAATATTGTAATAGCACAGCGCTCGTAAGGTGTTCAGATTAGGGGGGTGGACCATACGTGTGGCGACAGTGTCAGTGTTTACTCACAAATGCAGAGTTAATGGCATCCACAAAGCTCTCTTCATCCAGCTGTAGAAGTTCTTCAGCATGCTGATGACTGGTGGACCAGACCAGCGAGCTCTCCGTGTCTGACAACTGCACAGCAGACACATACACCACGTCTGGGCTTGAGCGCCATTACAAACACATGTATTTTCCATCTGACCACTAAGCGATATCACGACGAGCCAATGAAGCAAAATCAAGTACAACTGACATCATTTACAAGTAAAATAAACTCTTATGGCCAGCTCACAGGAAGCATTGCAATGGGTCCGGTTGGTAGGAACCTCTGCCAGGCTACGTTATTTTCTGTGGGCTGAAAAACAATATTGCAAGGTTAATGCATTCAATGCAACCATATTTCTTCTGCAATGTGACATTTCTGAGCAAATTACAGTATTCAAGAAGTTGTGGAAAACACATGAGAAGCATGATTTGAACTTGTAACTGGAGGCTCATCATACCTCAGACAAATGCAGAACAGCGACAACTGCGGATTGATCGTAATTCCATTTGACTGTTGGGATGCCAGCCTCTCTCCGCACCATTGAGTTCGGCCCATCAGCACCAATCTGAAAGAGTCAATCAAACCTACATTAAGAAGTTAAGCTTTTGCTTATGCAGTTATGCACTGTTCTGTTTGTAATACCAAATGACAAACTGGATAAATTATACAAACCAACAGCTTGGTGTGGAGAGTCTTTCCATTAGCTAGAGTCACCTGAACCCAAGGGATGGACTCAGAGACATGGTAAGGATGGGGCCAGGTGTACTTCACCACTTTTGTTCGGTACTGCACTTCAACATGGTCTGGTTTAGACATGAATGATAATCACACCAAAACATTAGTCCATTCGCATTAGTCCAAATCTCGTTCGGTTCCACTTGAGAAATGTAAAAGAATCCAAACAAACAGGGTTTGACTGTGACAAAGTCAAAAATTAAGGATCATCAAACCTGCTCATAAAACACAAAGTTGTTTTCCTTTCTCTGGTTGAGTTGAGGCCTGCTAGCATTTACAATTCTCTTAATGGCTTCGGCAAGTCACCCACGGCTGACTAATGGTGTTTATCTACAAGCAAACCATGCAATACTTATGACCAGCTGCCAATATCCTGCACACAACAGAGAACGAAAGTAAAGGAAGCAGAAAATCCACTTTCCTTAGAATCACTGGCGGTCTAGCGCATGAAAAGATCCGGAATTACGCCTACGTTTCGGACTTTGAGACCATTCTGTCCACAAAATTGAACACTAGTTCTTGTGCACGGGTGAGAATATTGGCTTCTTGCTGATTTGAGAGCAGAGTAACGGAAAAAAACAGCTGGTTGATGCATGTACGCTTTGTCTAGTACTTCAGCAGAAATAGCAAGACTGTTAAAAAGCACCAACTTGACAGAAACACGTGAACATGCACGTGCTACCGCACATCTGTTAAACGCAAGATGCGTTTTAAAAAAGGCCTGTTTTTAAAAATATGCCGTTTTACAGAGCATGGCATGGAAAAGCCAAATGCAGAGCCTTGGAACGGTTTAGTTAATTACAACACCAAAATGTTACAGTAAAATGCTGTCCATTCTCAGGCACCCCGAGCGAGTGAGATGCTACGGCTGGAAAGGAATGTGGTTTTTTTAAATGGGTCAATAGACCACTGCACGTGTCCGAACAGGGAGGCAATTCTCGTGGGGCTTTTGACTCCCACCAAAAGTAATATGCTGGATGATCGAAATAGCAGGAAAAACACGGATGCGTCCAAAGAAGTGGAATCTTTAGGGGGGGGAAAAAAACAGAAGAAGAAAGATGTTCAAAAGGAGTACGAGTACAAATAAACATTTTGCCAAGACAGGAAGGAATGGCTTGTGGTGACATCATTTGCCAAGCCATCCCTAAAACTAATTAACAGGGAGACCACTCAGCGCTCGAGAGTGCTGGGGAAAACATTTAGCAACATGGAAAAAGCACAGCAAAAGCAACGATCAGGGACATTTCATCATGTAATGATCAAAGTTCAGTGTGCAAAGCAATGATTACAAAAACAAACACATAAATCGATCCATATATATCAAACATCAAAATGTGGATACGTTACCAGAGAGAGTCTGCAGCTGTTTGGTGAGGGCGGCCACAATGACGTCGTTCTCAACGATGTACGCCATCTCGTCCTGCAGATTCTCCTTATCAAATGTAATCAGGGCATCTGAACAAGCATCCCAAACCTAAAGCAAAGAACCAAATTATTGCAGTGGTTTACAACTCTATCCTTGTGTGACCGCTCGGGTGCTATTTATGGATTTCCAAAAGAGCACATGCTTCATTGAACTTGAACACATCAAAGCCGTTTGACTGAGCGAAGAGTTTTGCCAGATACTCTAACCAAACATCGGCCACCAACAGCCTTTGAGGTTGCACGGCTGACTTTGTAAACATACTGGGGTGAGGCAGAAATGTAAAATGCCATTCTTCGTGGCGATTTATGCTTGTATATATAGTTAAGCCAATAATAAATAACAAATATGCGAACATTACTGTCGAGCTAAGTTTGTTTCATCCGAGTTGCCTTGCAACTTAGTTAATAAAACATGCAGATGGTTTTAAATGCAAAAGGTCTTGGTGATGGATGCAGCTATATTTTAAAAACTAAAATGACTTGTAACTAAGGTGACTGGCAACCAATTAAATCCATGAGTAACGTGGATTCAGAAAGACCGTTCTATCCTTCTTGTTATACAGCCATGCTAAAACCACTAATAGTAGTGGTTTTGCAATTTTTGATACATGGTTACGTGGAAGATTTAAAACGTGACCAACCCACAATTATAAGGATTTTACACATAGGAAAAACACAGCTGTTGATAAGTTTTGGAGTTGCTATGTACATCCAGTCACTGCCAAATTAAAACGTCCCTTGCCAAAATGACCCTTTTAACGTGATCATTTCTGTAACAAAGATACCAGAAAAGATTCAGACCACTGTGGAGGTCAAAAAAATCTAGCTGATAACACTTTAGGGAACCTCCACACTTTTTCTGGAACATGGCACTTCCCAAGCCCGCTTTAGTCGCTTTCCTCCCACCGCTTGAATTTAATTGGAGGGAAAGAGGGAACCTAGCTCAGTTCCTTTGCAATTTCATCCTTGTTTGGACATAAATGCACTCACAAACAAACAAAAAATTCTTAAAGGATACAGGAAAGGTATAATGGGTGAGGTATATCACTATAAAGTGCACACTGATGACACCCCTTAGTTTGCCCAGAAACCACAGGATTTCATTCTGGCAGTGAAAAATCCACATCTTACAGGAGAAACCCCACCACAGCATAGTAAACGAAGGGGCCTTTTACTTGTGATCTCCACACTCTCCACAGCGTTTAACTCCTCTCCCTGCATCTCACATGAATCTTCGTAATTAGTAGACACGGTTAGATTTATGTCATCCCTCTAAATAAGACTCTAATAGATAAACTGTGGCCGCAAGCAAAACCAAGCTTAACTGTCAGGTTGCGATGCAGAGTTTGAGGTTCTGCAACTCTAATGTATGTTTTGTATTCGGAGGCTGTGGTTCTGTAACATTAATTTATGGGTGGCTGCTTACAGTGCGATGAGGCAAACAACGACGAGCAAAACACGATACAGCTGTTTTTAATGGAGTGGCTTTCTGCTCTCAGGAAAATAAGCAGGTAAGGTCATAGTAAATAACTGTGTTGGTTACACATAATGTGTTTTGATTTAGTGGTTCATTGCGTTTAAATGATGTGAGTTTCTTTTGGTGTGATATCTGATTACTCCATTTAAATTTTTAATTGTAAAAAAAGTACTATACTTAGTAGTGTGTTTTGATGGACATTCTATGAACTGCCAGGTAACACTGTGGTGCTTGAATATGATTATCATTCAGTAGAATGTGATACTATCATTGCATAACGGCACCGCCCAAGTAATCATTGTATTACAACACACTGGTTTTACTGACCTGCATTTTATTATATGGCTTGCATCTCATATTTACAATATGGTCCCAAGCACCGAGACCTGTAACACATTAGGACACAATTAAAGTTTATCCTTTATCATATCCAACCAGAGCTATGGGAAAAAGTACACAGCGCAAGAGAGAAAGCTACCTACTGACCCACTTCCTGGTGAATCTTTCAAATACAAACATTATACTGTAAATAGTTTTAATGACAGGAGTGCAATTTCAGAGCTTTGAATGGAACAGATGTACTTATCCTCACCACAGACCTTGTGATTGGATTGTGCCTCCACATTACCCAAAGTACTGGTTCTAAATGATGCCCAACATTGCCCATAATGCAAACATGCATTCTGTGGACACAATCAAAAGCATGTTTCGTTCAACATAACACACTGTGTAGCCTGGCAACGGAGGGTGGCTCTTTGTCCGTGGCATCCCATCTACTACTGTCCATCTAAAATCTATTGTTTTTTTGTTTGTTTTTTAAACTTTCTGTAGTTCTTCATTTTGGAATTTGTGACAATTAAAAGATACTGGTAAGACATTTGATCTGCTATCAAAGGCTAAAGGGAACTGTCCTTTTAACCAACTTTTTATAGTGTATGAAAAAATGTAAGTCATTAAGGACAAAAGAGAACATTTTCAATAAAAACAATATATTCTGTTCCCCAATGAATTATTACATACTATTATGTAGATATTATTATAGTAATGATTAATATTTTAATTGGATTATGTTTTTATATCTTCGGTTTTTAGTTTAAGAACTTTTGTGCTTTTGTCATTTTATTGATTTATTAATTTTAAAACTTTAACTCAAACATATTAATTTTAGTTAATTGCCAAGGCAATAATTCTAATGTTCCATAAGTTATTTATATTTTATGGTAACACTTTACAAGAAGGTTCCATTTGTTAACATGAACAATGAAAAAGCATTTATATTAATAAGTTGAATCCAACATTTACTAATACATTATTAAAATGAAAAGTTGTATATATTAATGTTAATGGCCCTGAGCTAACATGAACTAACAAGGAACAGTTGTATTTTTATTAATGTTTAAAAAGATGAATAAACACTGTAACGCACTGCATTGCTAAATGCATTGCTTGTTGTAAGTTAATGTTAGGTAATGCATTAAATATAGTTAACAAATGAAACCTTACTGTAAAGTGTTACCTATTTTATTACCCATTTCAGTTTTATTTCAATTAATTATTATTATTATTTTTTTTTTTACAGTTTTGGTTATCAACTTCAACACCAACTATATGGTTTTTTAGAGACTATATTCTATTTTGTATATAATGGTGCTCGGTCCATTTTTGGAAGACATGGATGAACAAATTAAGAATTATGATTATTTTTTGGAACTACCCAAGGTAGATAAAATGGCTTGTAGGGTGTTCCTTTATAGAACCATACGAGTGTCATATGAACCACACAGAAATAAAGGCCCCACTTTATATTAAGTGGCCTTAACTACTATGTACTTACATCAAAAATTAAGTACAATGTACTTATTGTGTTCATATTGTATTGCAAAACACATTTGCTGCTATTGAGCTGGGATACGGGTAAGGTTAGGAACAGGTTTGTTGGTATGGGTAGGTTTAAGGGTGGGTTAAGGTGTAAGGGATGGGTCAACTGTGTAATTATAAATGTAATTACAGATGTAATTACATGCAGGTATTTTTAAAAAATAAGTACAGTGTAAAAACATGTATGTACACAATAAATGCATTGTACCAAATTATTAATTTAAATGCAAGTACATAGTTGTTAAGGCCACTTAATATAAAGTGGGTCCGAAATAAAATTTTAAAAAGCTACACAAGCCCATACCACTAAGAAGCGTTGCTGAGCCTGGGCTGATGGAGCTGACCCGTGTACTGTAGGTCTCTGGAACCCTGTCCATCTCTTTTTTGTGACCAGCTTCCAGCAGAAGAATCTTTTTCCCTGCCAAATTTGGCTCTAGACCTGAAAGCAGCACAGATTAAATGCAGGATGATTTATTTTCTTTCCATTGTCCTTTCCAAATCACTGCAATGATGTATCTTCTGGCATTTTGCATATTTTACCAATCCATTTGAATAAGATCTTACTAAAGTTTGCATAAAATCTGTGCGTCGTTTGCACGCTGCTTACTTAAAGGGATAGTTCACCCAAAAATGAAAATTCTGTCAACAGTTGGTGGTTGCCATTGACTTCCATAGTAGGAAAAAAAATACTATGGAAGTCAATGGCAACCTCCAACTGTTTGATTACCAGCAATCTTCAAAATATCTTCTTTTATGTTCAACATAAGAAAGCAACTCATACAGGTTTGGAACGACATGAGGGCGAGTAAATGATGACAGAATATTCTTTTTGGGGTGAACTATCCCTTTAAGCACCCTACGGGCATGAGAACATCACATTGTTGTACAATCGCAATTGCACCCTTCACCTCCAGCTAAAACACTTTCATCAAGTAAAATAATAACCTCTCTTTACGTGAAAAAACAAGGGTGAAGAAAAGTCACGGGAAGGACTTTATTACAACTGGGAAGTGCAGCGTAGGAGAGTGGAGATGAGGGGCAAAAGCAGGCTGGGTCACTGTGCATGTCAGGGACACTCACTCACTCACTCACCCAAAGAACACGCCATAGCGGTGCCCACCATTCCCCCGCCGGATATAATAATATCAAAGAGCTCGTTTTCAGAAGTGCTGGGTTCCTCGTCTCGTTCGGAGGACGCGAATCCTCTGCGCACCGCTTGCGCTCCATTGAGTGCCCTCAGTGCACCACACTGCCGTCCTATCCCGAGCACTGCTGCTAGTTTAGCTTTCGCAAAAGTGAACATTCTAGCGAGAGAGAAAAAACAGACGTGATACAACTTGTTACAACCAACAAGCCTAAAAGTATAATTCTAAACCTCTTCGTTATATTTGTCCTGTTCTTGACAATAACTGTATCTATCTACGTTATCATCCAGCCATGTTGTTGACAGAGAACACGGAACGTTAAGAGCTCTGTTTGCTACACTCCTTCCGGATTTTAAAAGCCACTGAAATAATGAAAACGACTCATGGACATTGCCATTGTCTTTACTTTACAAGCGAAATGTATGTCACACACAGCAGTATTAAAATGACAGCGTAAAACCTGTCTTTTAAAACGCTTTCACTTCTCAGCTCTTGTTCGGCGATGGTAGCTCGATGGAAGCAAGTTACTTTTAGCACCACCTGCTGTCGTGGAGGATAAAGTCAAGTGCCTTTAGTTTCTTTAAACATAGGCAACATGTATCCGTGGTTTGCTGCTGCATACAGTGTTTGCTGAGAAACAGATGCCGTTTTGTACTTAGTATTCCTGGAAGACATAACGTTACTGTGATAAACTCGGGATTCAGTGTTCGTGCTCAGGCGCCGGTGGGTGGAGACTGCTGCAGAGATCATGATATCTGCCGCTTCCAGGGAAATGGAGAGTGTCTTGATCTTTCCGAGTCAATGGAAGAGTGTTTGAATGATGTCCTCATAGCGGGCCTGATCACACCATGGATCAGATGACAACGGTGAGGAAAAATCAATAATGGCGGAAGAGGAGACGGAGTACCAGAGTTTGAGTTCAAATGGAAACACGTCTGATATTTTCCAGCGTATTTATCGATTTAACACTGATTAATCTGCTTTTGTTATTGGTTATACAGTTAATTTGGAATCGCTTTTGGCGAAGGCGAACAGCGAAAACAGAGCGTAACTATGCACGTGTGGGTGTTGCCATAGTAACAACATTTACGCTGTTGACGTTCAACACAGCTCAGAAAAAGCAACAACATCAATATTTTGATAGCAATGTTATTGTCTTTATATATAATCGTTTTGATAAATAATTATTTTCATGGAAATCAGTGCTGCCTATGGGACGTTGTTCAGCCAGTCCAATAACAATATTTAATGCAGTACAAATATTTCATGTAACGTTAGACTCCCAAAATATTGTTTACAGTAGTTTCACTTACACAGCATGTCATAATAAATTATAAATAGTGTTTTTAATTACAAAATTTAAATTGTAATTTGGTGGCTGTTCTTTCAGCTCCTTTCTTATTTCAAAAGTAAAACAATTCATTAATCCAACAAACAAACTAAAGACAGGTTTTCTGTGCAGATCTCTCCCGCTTTAGATTTCTCTAGATCTGAAGAGGGAGACAATGTGCACGTTTCGGAAAGCCTGCTGGCCTGTAATGAGGATAGAGATAAGTCTGAACTATCTCTTGAGTTGCATTTGGAGGCTCTGAAGGCCAAACGCAAGCAGCAGCTGGAGAAATTAGAGCTCCGGCACCAGAATGGCCTGGAGAAGAGGGTCCTGCAGAACTCCCTGCTCACTTCCAGCACCGAATGGATACTTAAAGCCAAAATACCCCAGCAGAGCATCAGCGATCATGATAGGCGAAAGTCTGAGAACCGCAAACACCACAGGTAATTCAAATCTTAAATTTGATAATGATGTTCTCATAGATCTTGTACTGAAACATACGTCTTCCAATCTTGTCCTCAGTTCAAAGGTGCAGAATTTGACCTCAAATGGAGTCGAGGCACCAAGAACTACTGGAACTAATTCTTTGGGAACAGTGACAGAGAGACAGAGGAAGCCTCTCCCTCAGGGTTCACAGAAAGCCAAAGAGGAGGCAGACCTGGCTGAGTGTCAGAAACAGTTTTGTGTCGCTCCCGTCCCCGAGCACGTCTCAAAGCCTCTTTATGATGAGCTCAGCAATGAGCAAGAGCGCTTGAGGAAGGAAGGTCGTGAGCAGAGGAGAGATTTCCTCTTGTCCATGCAGAAGCCCTTCAGGTTCCACAAGAGGGAGGAGAAGAAGCGAGAGAGGCTGAAGGAGGAGATGGCCTCTGCCAATAAAAGTGAAAAAACAGAACCAGTTTGTGTGAGAAAACCTATACCGAAAGCGGTCTCAGAGCCCAGCTTCTCTGAACAACTGAAAGGTGCCATTTATTTGAATATTTATCAAATCATATTATTATATACGCTCTTGTATGTACTAAACACAATATGAAGAGTTCAGATGCAAAGTCCTCTTAAGTGCCATTTAAAATTTTCTTATAAAATTGACATTTTTATCAGGCACCTACTGTATGTGTAGGTTCAGTCATTTCGCTTTAATGGCAATTATAGATTCTTTTCATTGCCATCAAAGTGAAATAACTGAACATAAGCATAGGAGCCTGAGAAAAAAAAGTGCTAATTTTAGAAGAAAATTTCAAATGGCACTTCGAGGCTTTTGCATCTGAACTCTTCATATGTAACATATTTAAAGAAAAAGTTCACACAAAAATGAACATGTAAGTTTCATTTGAATATTTAAATCATCATCATTTACTCACCTTCTAAACCTGTATTTATGTGATGCTGGTTCAGTGCAGGAGCAGCAAAGGAAGATTCACATTCATCTGCGAGCTCAGGAGACTCTGAAAGCCTCCTCAGCACCCATTCAAAGGCAGGAACCCAGTGCAGATAGACAGACCCGCAGTGCTCAGAAGAACAAAAGCAAGATGCTGGGTTACTTGGACCAGAAGCTGTCCTTCAGACCTAAAACTAATGCTGCCGTGCCTGACTTTGACAAGCTTTACCAGGCCTTTCATCAAAAGGCAATGGAGGCAGCAGAGAGGAGAGATGTCACTCACTGTAAACCTTTCCAGCTGCGCACATCCACGCTACAGCCACGCCACAGGAGCCCAGAAAACCCACAGGTTGCTATCTTAATTATTTAGTTTAGATTCCTTTAATGCAATTCCTATGAGGAATGTGTTTTGTTTAATATGCAATTATTCTTGACTAGAAATCTAGAGACGAGACGAATCTAAAGAGAAGCAGTTCATTTGGTGGCCTGACATCACTGTCTATGGACACTCTTCCAACTTACATAACAGATGCTGCCAGGAAAAGATCCATGGCTGTAAGGTGAGCCTGATGCGTCTTACATTTTTATAATTATTTTATAATTTTATACAATAAAAGTAATCATATGTTCTTTTGGTAACACTTTATTAGGGACCAATTATTATTATTAACATATCGGTTGTTTAAAGCACATATTCTGAATGACCATATTCAACATCCCTAATACCTAAATTGAACAACTACCTTACTAACTATTAATAAGCTGCAAATTAGGAGTTCATTGAGGCAAAAGTCGTAGTTAATGGTTTGTTAATAGCACGAATTGGACCTTAAAATAAAGTGTGACTGTTCTTTTATAACACACATCACATGTATGGTCTTTTTTTTTTTTTTTTGCACAATTCTTGACTTCACTGCTATTTGTAATTTTTCATTAAATCCTGTTGGCTGCACAGGCTATTGGTTAATGCAAATAGAAAATTAAGCATTGTTTTAGGCTAGTATTGTTGGTTCCACAATTTTTAAATGCACTTTCAAACATCTTTTCGATACTTAAACACAAATTAAATCAAATAAAACTGTATTAGAGTTGTATGGTTATTTTAATAAAGCAATAAACAATTATAAAATACATTATTTAAAGCAATAGAAAATAATGTGAAATAGATTTGAGGAAAAAATTGTAATATATTCAGAAATATGTCATATTACAGAAATAAAATACATTCACTTGAGTTATTTTCTTTTGTATTGATCTATTATATTCTCTTGTATCTATTTTGTACCATGTATGCAACATATTTGGGCTTGTTATATGACTGTTCTTTTGTGAACAGGAGATCTCTGGAGCTGAAGGACCTTAAGGAGCAGGAGAATGCAAAGTGGATGAAGCAGCACAGAATCAAGTCTCAAGCTATGAGCAGGGCAGTAGCAATGAGAGCCAAGGCAATGGACCCTCATAAAAGTCTTAAAGAGGTCTATCAGGAGAAACTCAAACAGAACCGGTGAGCACTTTGAAGAAAAAAATGTCTGCGGACAAGCCAGGAATGCAATAACTGATTATGAGTTGTTGTGAATGTAGGCAAGCTGATCTGGAGAGGATGAAAGATTATCAAAAAGAGCTGAAGGAAATCAAAACCAGAGTAACATCTCGCCCGTACCTGTTTGAGCAGGTGTCGCAGGTACACTACTTAATATTCCAAATCCATTCTTCTTCCAAATAATGTAACTTTCATATTTTACCATATGCATATACCTAATGCTTTCAGAAAAATGCCAAGAATAATGCTGAACGCAGATACAGGAATACTTTGGAACAAGCAGGCCTGGACGAACATTTTGTGAGATCAAAGGGAGAAACAAATAAGGCCATCCATGTGGACAATGAGTCTGCGGATGAGGATCATGACAGCACTGAAAGCGAAACCCAGAAGAGGTATGGAGACACATGAATGATGGGGTTTAAAATTAATGTGCACATTTGTTTTGCAGTGAATGTGTGTTGATTATCACAGAGCGGAACAAATCTATTCAATGCAAAGATTTAACAGTGTGTTAAAGTATTTAACCTAGTTTTAATGAAAGGTTTGACATTACTCTCTTGTGACCCATACCCATCAAAATAAAATCATCTTACTCAGTGCAAATACAGTAGATGCGGTTTTGACATGAAAAGATCTATTTATTATAAATCTTTCTTTTTGAGTTTGTCAGCTTTATTGTCATTGGCATAGCGAAAAAGTAACCATGCAAATATTATGATGTAGCAGTCATATGGATACATGCTGTTCTACTATCGTTTTATTTACAGTGCAGGAAGTGGGAAAGACAGTGTCACAAATGAGGAGGAAAAAGAAGGGAATGTGGAAACCAAAGAGGAAGAGTTGTGCTGACAGACGCGGTTGGTGGACCAGTGTATTTCATCCATATTCCATATGTGCAGGGGAGACTGTGGTCAGACAACAAATTGCTGGCAGATCATTTCAGTTTTGAAAAATTGTGTTGTGCATGATTTACTTAGATTTATATATTGTATTACTGTATATTGTGCCAGTGAATCGGTGTGGGTCTTTATACAAGTTTATACGTTTTTTACAATAGAGAAGGGATTATGAAGATTCAAGAAATTCCATATGCGTGTCATAACATTTTGAATGAAACAGAAAATCAAAAGCAAGTTTAATTTTATGATTCTAAGCATGTTATGGGGGCTACCGACCCAACAAAAGAAGAAATAACCAAAAAACACTTGGCAACCAGAGGAGCGGTGTATTAAAAGCAGTATATTTGCTTGAGTTCTACTTACTGTACATTAAATCATCTTGTAAACCACAGAAACAGCTCTTGGGTTTGGTGTTGGGCACCCTCAGGGTTTGCAAACAGTAAATTGGGGAAGCCTTGTCTTGGCACAAACATCTTCCACCTGGAATGGAGTCTGTCAAATGTGGCTTTGAATGTCTGCTATAATTTTGGACTATAACCGTCACAGAGACTAGCTTTATTCATGAAACTCCATTTGAATAAGTACACAAATAACATTCTAAGACAACTCTTCTTTAGCACAAGGCCCATCTGAAATTCTCATTCCTGAAGTCAGGCTGTTTTGAGAGTCTTAGCACTGGTTGAGTAAACAGCCCTGCACATTTATCCTCTCTTGGCAAAAGAGCTTGTGCTAGTGCATTTGGCCACATCAAGAGCTTTTTACTCCAACTGGCTTCTTCAGTCCTGGTTGGATTTTCTGTGATTTTTTAAGGAATTAAAGGAATTTGTGTTTCTTTGTATAGAGATGGAAAGTTCTTAGTTATTTTAAAGATTTTGAGGCATAATTTCTGCTTTTGCTGTTACATGATGATCTCAAGATGGAACATAATTACTTTAAACGAGCCGTGTAGCATGCAGTGTATTTTAAAGGCTAAAATTGAACTTTTGGTGAAAATATGATAACCAGTCTTGTCCATTTTGTTGTATAACTTGTATATTTAGTGGTTGAAGGAGTGATGACACTGAAAAAATTAAATGAGTCAACTGCACATTTGAAAATGACTGCCCAGTTTCACCTCACGATACCCATTCATTTTGTTTCGGAAATTCTTTTTTTGTTTTGGCTAAATGAGGTTTAAGTGGAAGTACAGTAGGGCTTTGTTCCAATTCTTATTCTGGTATACACTAGAATTATGTCTTTTACTGGTAATGGGAGAGTCAGGGGGTCAAGATTTGGTAGCATTTGGTGCATCATTTCGAAAAGGAGTGTATTTACAGGTTGTGTGTATATGAACATCACAAAGTCCTACGAGTGGAAACTTAAAATTTTCTTTGAGCTCAATTTTCAGATTTGGGGTTTGTCAGTGGGAAAAAAAACATGGAAGATGGGATGCTGCAGGGATGCTGTATTTTTTTATGCCAATCCGAAAGTTTGCATCACACTGGTTTCTTCGACACAAAAAGCCAATAGAATTTTTTCTACTGCCTTTTGGATTATCGCAGAAATGTAGCCCTGTGAACAACAAAAGTTTATAATTCTGACATGTTTTGTTTGTCATGATAATCTTCACAAATGAACACAACTTTATGTCGGCACCGATAGTTTCGTGGGCAGCGTGCTGACATAATGCGCTAGGAGCGTCCCAAGTTTGAATCCAGGCCAGGCTCGAGGACCTTTCCCGATCCAACCCCCCTCTTTCTCTCCAACTTCACTTCCTATCAATTCTACACTGTCCTATACTAATAAAGTGAAAAAAAAAATTTCAAATAAATGCAACTTTAGGCCTAAATACTATTGCTAAGTAAAAAAAAAATGTCATGATAATCTTCACAAATGAACACAACTTTATGTCGGCACCGATAGTTTCGTGGGCAGCGTGCTGACATAATGCGCTAGGAGCGTCCCAAGTTTGAATCCAGGCCAGGCTCGAGGACCTTTCCCGATCCAACCCCCCTCTTTCTCTCCAACTTCACTTCCTATCAATTCTACACTGTCCTATACTAATAAAGTGAAAAAAAAAAAATTCAAATAAATGCAACTTTAGGCCTAAATACTATTGCTAAGTAAAAAAAAAGTTGCATGACTTCAACATCGAAACTTAAAATTTTCTTTGAGCTCAATTTTCAGATTTGGGGTTTGTCAGTGGGAAAAAAAACATGGAAGATGGGATGCTGCAGGGATGCTGTATTTTTTTATGCCAATCCGAAAGTTTGCATCACACTGGTTTCTTCGACACAAAAAGCCAATAGAATTTTTTCTACTGCCTTTTGGATTATCGCAGAAATGTAGCCCTGTGAACAACAAAAGTTTATAATTCTGACATGTTTTGTTTGTCATGATAATCTTCACAAATGAACACAACTTTATGTCGGCACCGATAGTTTCGTGGGCAGCGTGCTGACATAATGCGCTAGGAGCGTCCCAAGTTTGAATCCAGGCCAGGCTCGAGGACCTTTCCCGATCCAACCCCCCTCTTTCTCTCCAACTTCACTTCCTATCAATTCTACACTGTCCTATACTAATAAAGTGAAAAAAAAAATTTCAAATAAATGCAACTTTAGGCCTAAATACTATTGCTAAGTAAAAAAAAAAAGTTGCATGACTTCAACATCATTACTAATAAGCTTCCAACAAATATTTATTTGCAGGAATACAATAAACACCACAATTTTATAAAAGCAGACTAGTGAGTAGATGAGTTTACACATTCAGCGTGACGTTTAATATCCCAGACAACCTCTGTAGTCCCATTTAGCCACTTGTTAAGCCTATTTCAAGACATGTAAATGCTTAAAAAAATTATGAGTATGGTATAACTGATGTATTTTAAGCCCTAAAATAAAACATGAAAAATATATTGAGCTTGTGTTAACCAAAAAAACCAAAAAACATTGATTTCAGAACAATGGAATCGGAAGTGCAAACAAGTTGTAAAACTTTTCCTGCAGCACTCTATGGATGCATTGTTTGTAGTTTACAGTAAAATGCATGAAATTATTATTATTTTTTCATTTACAGTAAGTCTGGCTATGTTGCATGTACAAAATTGGCTATTGGACATTTACAATAGAGCATGTAACGATTCAGAACATAAAACGATTAAAAACATAAAAGCAAAGTCGGTGCAGATAGCCTTATAAGCATCATGGCGACATATAATGCGGTTGCGCTGTGAGTGTCCCGAGTTCGAATCTCGGTTCAAAGACCTTTCCCAATTCCGCTCCCCTCTCTCTCTCCCACTTTGCTTACTGTCAGCCCTACACTGTCCTATCACAATAAAATGCAAAAAAAAAAGCAAAAACACACTGATATGCATTTTTTCAAACTTGCTGCATTTTGTTGTAATTAATTAAATTAATGTAATTTTTTGTCATTTGCTTGGCCAGTGATTTGAATGACTTGATGTCATAATTACGACTTCCAAAATTGTAAATACGAACTTGAAAGATTAGCACCATTATTCTTACAAGAAGTATCCTTCTCCAGTGATGACTGTTCAAAAGTAGCTATGTATTCTGATGATTTTTTTTTTTTTTGCAGAAATGTTTTCCCGTCATAAAGTAGTGGCTTGATACAAAAGCCATCCTGCTACATATTGTTTTAATTTGGGCTTAGGCATTAGCATCTTGCTAAAATCAGTACCACTTAACTTTTGGGTTTATAATTTTGACAAAAAACCTGCTGTGGCAACTTTAGCTTCACATTCTGAAAATGTTGAGGTAATGCTATCATTCTAAGAAATTCCTTTTATTTTGTATCTGTTAAATATGTAGATTCAATAAAGTTGACTGACAAAACTCAGTGTCCATCTTGTCTGTTTCATGCACACACATCACTCAAGTCGTTTAGGGAGGACAGAACGCTGCGTTTGAGTGACAGCTTCTATCTTGAGCTTTAAGTGTCAGATAACTGAAAGTTCAAGTGCTCCTGCGAGGTCGCCATGGCAGCTGTGCTCTCTAATGTCACACTATCTACAAGTGCTTTGGGTCATGCTGTCACAACCGAATGTCCCTTACATTGATAACATGCTAGATATAGCTCTGAATCAGGTTGGACATAAGGTGCGACTTATTTATTCATTTGTTCATCTACATGTGATCATGAAGAAAATACGGTATAATAAAATAAACATTTGGGATTGACTAAGATTTCTTAATAAAAAAAAATCAAGAACTGAGCCTGTTAATCTGGACAAAGGTGAATGAGGTTAATTAAACTTAAATGCACAGGTTACAATATTATGATTTCATAACATGTTCAAGTTCAAGGCATGTCAAATTGTCGACTACAAATTTCAAAATAAAGTTTCTTCAGTAGTTATTTGACATTATACTGTAACTTTACACAACCATTTGAACGTTTGATAAGATTCTTTCAATTCAATTCAAGTTTATTTGTATAGTGCTTTTCACAATACAAATCGTTGCAAAGCAGCTTTACAGAAAATTACGTTTCTACAATATATTCAGTAGTAACTTATCAGTGGTGACTATGTTGATGTACATATGGCAGAAATGTACGGTAAAATTCAGTTAATGACGTAAGACCATGAACACTATTAACAGCAATGATTATATGTTGCAATCAAACTTGTTAGTTGATTGATAGTTTATGTTGTTTCAGGGTTGGCATCATCTGAGGTCCTCTGAGGGGTTGGCATCATCTCTTCTCAGGTGTTCGGTCATCTCAGGTCTTTGTAAGGGCTGGATCCAGACTGAAGCTTGTGTAATTCCTAGTTACTGGCAGAAACAGAGAAACAAATAAAGACATAATAAGCATAGCTACTGTTCCAACCAAGCTAAGGAATAATAATGTGCATTTGATCAGATATAACTGCAGTACAACATTATGAGAGGCATTATTTGAATGCTTGGCCAAAGAGATGTGTCTTTAATCTAGATTTAAACAGAGAGAGTGTGTCTGAACCCCGCACGTTATCAGGAAAGCGATTCCAAAGTTTTGGAACCAAATGTGAAAAAGCTCTACCTCCTTTAGTGGACTTTGCAATCCTAGGTACTACCAAAAGTCCAGAGTTTTGTGACCTTAGGGAGCGTGATGGATTGTAGCGTGGTAGAAGACTAGTTAGGTACGCAGGAGCTAAACCATTAAGGGCCTTGTAGGTAAGTAATAATATTTTGTAACTGATACAGAACTTAATAGGTAGCCAGTGCAGAGACTGTAAAATTGGAGTAATATGATCATATTTTCTTGACCTGGTAAGGACTCTAGCCGCTGCATTTTGGACCACCTGTAGCTTGTTTATTGAAGATGCAGGACAACCACCTAGCAGTGCATTACAATAGTCCAGTCTAGAGGTCATGAATGCATGAACTAGCTTTTCTGCATCAGAAACAGGTAACATGTTACGTAGCTTGGCAATGTTTCTAAGATGGAAGAATGCTGTTTTTGTAACATGGGAAGTATGATTTTCAAAAGACAAGTTGCTGTCTAATATAACACCCAGATTTTTGACTGTAGAGGAAGTAACAGTACATCCGTAGTTGCAAATTGTAATCCAAGAGATTCGTGTACAGTTTTTTGGTCCAATAAGTAATATCTCTGTCTTATCCGAATTCAATTGGAGAAAATTATTGGTCATTCAATCTTTTATATTTTTAACACACTCTGTTAGCTTAGATCATTTAGAAGTTTCATTTGGTCTTGTTGAGATATATAGTTGAGTACCATCAGCATAACAATGGAAACTAATTCCGTATTTTCTAATAATATTACCAAGACAGAACTGGAGAGGATCTGCAAGGAGGGATGGCAGAGGATCCCCAAATCCAGGTGTGACAAACTTGTTGCATCTTTCCCAAAAAGACTCATGGCTGTATTCGATCAAAAGGGTGCTTCTACTAAATACTGAGCAAAGGGTCTGAATACTTAGGACCATGTGATATTTCAGTTTTTCTTTTTTAATAAATCTGCAAAAATGTCAACAATTCTGTGTTTTTCTGTCAATATGGGGTGCTGTGTGTACATTAATGAGGAAAAAAATTAACTTAAATGATTTTAGCAAATGGCTGCAATATAACAAAGAGTGAAAAATTTAAGGGGGTCTGAATACTTTCCGTATCCACTGTATATTGAAAATAGCAGAGGACCTAGACAGATCCTAGACAGACAGATCCTTGTGGCACTCCATACTTTACTGGTGATAATTGAGATGACTCCCCATTTAAATGATCGGACGGGTAGGATCTAAACCATCGTAAAACCTGCCCTTGAATACCTGTATAGTTTTGTAGTCGATCTACGAGTATGTCATGATCTAAAGTGTCGAACGCAGCACTAAGATCAAGTAAAACTAGCAATGAGAAGTGTCTGGAAATTCCCAATATTAAAGATCTGACTTCACCACGGACAACTCAGACAACTACAGTTGTTAATACAGTATCTCGGGCTAATTCCCTGAATTCCCCGAATACTTACAATATAATCCAATACTTCCCTGAAATATGCTGACGGCATCCCGTCAAGAACCTACTATCACTACCTCAATCACACATAAGCACACATATCTTTAGCATCTCATCGCCCTTCTCAGCTGTACGCTGTTACCTCAGCCCGAGGACGGCTCTATAGTCTTCCAACACTATCACTGTCTTTGCGGTGGTCTTTTGAGCGTAGAATCTTTAGTACTTCTATTCCTCAGCTGTGCAGCATATACCAGACACAACCCAAGTTGCTCTTTGCAGGAATGAAAGTTTATTCACGGCCGGGAGCCCACTGGTCACAACAACCATCGACTTCCTGAACAGAAGGATGCA